TCCACAGGCCCTGTGGAAAAAAAAAAAAAAAAAAAAAAAAAACCTCTAAAAAACCAATAACAACAAAAAAACTTTTTGTTAACTTTGTCCTTTTTAAATTTTCACCTGACTAAAGGCTAAAATGCAAATATTAAAGTTTTTTTTCTGAAAATTAACACATGCTTTCTCAATTTTTCTGTCTCTGTCTGTCTTAAAAAAATGAAAATACAATACTGGAACCAGGAGGTGCATGGTGGTTAAGGCACTGGACTCCTACAAGCCTGACTGTGGTTCAAGTCCTAGACCTGGTGGCTTAAAAATCATGCTGGGCACACGTGCATGTGTGCCCAAGATCCCAGGAGGAGAATGGGAAGAGAAGGTACTGTGGTGTGGACATCCCCCCTGGGGAAGTGATTTCTCCCTTTCCTCTCACTGTCTCTTTCTGTCTCTCTCCAACAAATGCATGTGTACTACGGCAAAAAACTTAAAAAAATGAAAATACTAAGACACAGGACCATAGTGCTAACTCTACTTATAGGACTCTACCTTAGTCAAATACAGAAAGATAAAGCTTAATGTATCATGATAATCACTAAAGAAGTATTCGTTATAATGAAAGTTAGAAAAAAAAACTAAACGTTTGACAAATCAGAGAGGTTATAACATAGAGTAAAAGTTTAAAATTATATAAAGGGAAATATTTATTATTTAACTCCAGTTTATGAAGGTAACATAATTTTCAAAATTTTATATTTTTAAAATGTTTTTACAAATGGAAGGAAATATATTATTAATACAATAATGGAAGGAAATATATTATTAATACATTGTTAAGACTGCTATTTTTTCAGGAGTATAATAACATATGAATCTCCCCCCAGATGTTTCATACTCCTGTTTTCCTCACTTTCTGAAATGGTCATGTATTACTTTTATAATAGTAGCAGAGTACAATAACAGTCTATAACTAAGAGGGAAAGTGATTAAGAGAACATTCCTTTTTTTCTGTATTAAAGGCAGAATTGTTACACTATGGCACATGACTTACTTTTTCGCTTTCCAATATCCATGTCAGAGGTAGCAGCTTCACATAAAAGCACCATACCTAAGGTAACCCCACCATCTTAAAAAAATTGGTTGAGGTGAAATTCACACAGAAAACAAAGAGATATAACACTTCATCATTTCTAGTTTCTCTCTCTCTCTTTTAAAGATTTATTTTTTTATTTAATTTGACCAGAGAGGGACAAAGTGAGAGGGAGAAAGCGAGAAAGCAAGCCGCCAGGTCCAGGACTCAAACCATGTTTGGCTATGTGGAAGTCCAACATCCTTAACTACCATGCCACCTGCTAGCCCCCATTTCTAGTTTCTCAAGAAGAAAACTAAAATGAGTACATATATAAAGCTTCAACTCTTAATTCTAACAAATTTAACTAAAATAAGTAATTTTGGATCTATATAACATGACAATAATGGTGATTAAGGCAGTGGATTCCCATATGGTTGACTGCAGTTCAAGTCCCAGACCTAGTGGCCTGAAAATCATGCCAGTTGTGTGCTTGCATGTGCAAAATCCCAGGAAGAGAATGGAGAGGGGATACAGGTGTGGCCATCCCCCCTGGGGATAATTTCTCACTTTCCCTCTCTCTGTTTCTTTCTCTCTCTAGCGAACACACGTGCCCTATGGCAAAAACCTAAAAAAAAAAAATTACAGTCATTTTGAATATTTCAACCACTCTTCCAAAAAAACACACTTGAAATATTCATTTAGAATGAACCATTTTGAAATGAACTCTTAATTTAAAAATTATTTTTCAAAAATTTCTTCAGAATTTCAATTAACATTTAAAGCACAAATGACTAAGATATCTAATTTTGTCCTTTTCTAATAAAAAAGGAAAATCCTATAATGTGATATGACCTCATTTTTATTCGGCTTAGTTATATAAGCTACATAAATACAAAATGGAACTACCCATGCAAATAGGTAATGCGTAGCACAAGTCAATGTTAAAATAAGTAAAATAAAAATTAAAATGTAAAGCAAATACAATATGTTCTAGAAGAAAAGAATGAATCTGTGGCTTAGTGAATACTAACAGCAGCAAAAATAAATCTCAAATTAATTATGTATACATACATGCACACTGTATGCTACTGCATGTGGGTATAATTAAGCAGAATGAGAAAAACGGGTGTTCAGATGAGGCCTGAATTTATAACTGACTCTATAATTTGACTATTCATCCTTTTATTACTACCTTGCATTTTCTCTTCAATGGCCTCTTGTTAGGGATGATGCTCATTCATCATATTTTTAGTTACTCAGCCACGTCTCTTCTCCAGTATTGCTTTTTTTTTTTTCTTACTGAGGTTCTTTCTATCCAGGTTTGTGTGAAGATTGATCATTTTTATGGGCTTTGGTTATTGAGAACTCTTCTGTTTTGGGATTGCTTATCTTTGTTTCATAGTCTATATGCTTTTGCTTTGAAAGGGCTTTCCATCATGTTATTAGGTTGTCAGAAAAGTCATAACATATTTTTCTATGCAAAAATGCATCATGACTTGGGACCAGCAGTTAGTGTAATGGCTATGTCCCTGGACTCCCATGTAGTTGACCGTGGTTCGATTCCCAGACCCAGTGGCTTAAACTCACACTGGGCGTGTGTGCATCCATGCCCAAGATCCCAAGAGGAGAATAGAGGAGAAGGGATTGTGGTGTGGCCATCCCCCCTGGGGGTTATTTCTCACTTTCTGTCTCTCTGTCTTTCTCTGTCTTTCTGGTGAACGCACGTGCCCTATAGCAAAAACCTTTCCAAAAAAAAGGATCATGACTTTTCTGACAAAACAATAGATAACCCAAGGTCTTTTTGTGCTGTTCTTAGCCATCAAGAGCTATGAAGCACTTCCCAGTGTACTGTTTCATTTCATTTATTTATTCTTTAAATTTTTACTAACATTCCATAATATATAGCAAGTGCTATTATTTATATATTTAAATTTTGCCAGAGGGCATGTGTGCTCACCAGAGAGAGACATGGAGAAGGAGAAAGCACCCTCCTCATGGAAAATGATCACACCACAATCTCTTCTCCTCCATTCTCTATCCTGTCAGGACATTGGGCATGCATACACAAGAGCCTAGCATGTTTCTCAAGTTGCTGGGGCTAGGACTCAAACCATGCAGTCCGATATGTGGGATTTGGCTCACCTAACCACTAGAATATAGAGCCAGCCCATGTTTCCTTTTCTTAAGGACTTCAACTATCTAGTTTGATTGTAATCACACTCAAAATTCTTAGCCAATTCTTAGCTAGTACAACCCATTTTCAATAAGATAAGAATTGAGAGACCAGCAGTTGGGGTAATGGCTATCTTGCTGGACTCCCATGTAGTCTACTACAGTTTGAATCCCAGACCCAGTGGCTTAAACTCACACAGGGTGCATGTGCGTGCATGTGTGCATACCCAAGTTCCCGAGAGGAGAATGGAGAAGGGATTGTGACATCGCCATCCCCCCTGGGGGGTGATTTCTGTCTCTGTCTCTGTCTCTCTCTCTCTGTCTTTCTGGCGAGCGCATACGCCCTATAGCAAAAACCACCCGCCCCCCAAAAAAAGAGTTGAATGAGGTGACTTTTAATTCACTTAGTTATTGAGATGAGAAAACAGGGCAAATGACTTTACCACCAGGTCATGGGCAGTCTCCAACAGCTCAGGGTACAATAGATTCTAAGATGTAGGTAACCAGCAGTTAGTGTAATGGCTATGTCGCTGGACTCCCACATAGTCGACCGCGGTTCACGTCCCGGACCCAGTGACTTAAAACTCACGCCAGGGCGCGTGTGCGTGCGTGCCCAAGATCCCGAGAGGAGAATGGAGGAGAGGGAAATTGCGGCATGACCAACCCCCCTGGGGGGTGATTTCTCGCTTTCTGTCTCTATGTCTCTCTCTGTCTGTCTGGCGAGCACATGCACCCTATAGCAAAAAAACCTCTCCAAAAAAATAAAAAATTAAAAAATTAAAAAAGATGTATATCAGGACACCTTGACTAAAAAGCACAATTATAGGAACATTACATTTGTTCACCTTGTTGATTGCCCCATAAGCTCACTGCGCATGTATTGAGGTGAGTAAGCTGTGTTCAGTAATAAGAGGGACTTCAGGGGACCAGCAGATGGGGTAATGATTATGTTGCTGGACTCCTATGTCATTGACCATGGTTTGAGTCCCAGAGTGGGAGGCTTAAAACTCATGCCAGGCGTGTGTGCCCAAAATCCTAAGAGGAGAATGGAGAAGGGACTACAGTGTGGTCATTGACCCCTGGGTGGTGATTTCTTGCTTTCTGTCTTTCTCTTTCTGTCTCTCTCTGTCAACCACATGTGTCCTATAGTAAAAATCTCTTTAAAAAAGTCTTTTAAAAAGGTACTTCAGAAAGTTGGAAGGGCCAGCCCTGTGACATGGTAGTTAAGGTGGCTGGATTCTACATGGCTAACTGTACAGTTTGTGTCCAGACTTGGCAGCTTGAAAGACATGACGTGCATATGTGCATGGATGTCCAAAGTCCCAGGAGGAGAATGGAGGAGAAGGGATTGCAGCATGGCTACTCCTTGGGGGTTGCTTTTTAATCCCCCCCCCCCGCCCCATCTCTCTTGAGTAAGCTCATGTGCCCTATAGTAAATTTAAAAAAAAAAATTTCATGGAGGGGGTCAGCAGGTAGCATAATGGTTAAGGTGCTGGACTCCCACATGGTTGACCACAGTTTGTGGGAAGAGGGTGGGTGAAAGAGTAGAGTCTGAGGAAGGATGTTAGAGAGAAAAATAGAGAGGCTTAGCATTAATGGAACAAAGAAATGGGGTATTATCTGTTAAAGATAACTAAAGTATTATCAACTGGACTGGGGAGAAATGTACATGTGTTGAAACATTCATTTTGCAAACTAAATAACATGATTGAATGTATAAAAGAACATGAAAAAAAAAAAATCCTGGACCTGGCAGCTTGAAACTCACACTAGGTGTGTATGCATGTATGCCCAAAACCCCAAGAGGAAGATGGAGGAAAACGAATTATGGCAGGGCCACCACCCCCTGGGGGGTGTTTTCTCACTTTCTCTCTCTCTGTCTCTGTCTCTCTGGGAAGCACCTGTGCCCTATAGCAAAAAATCTTTCTTTCAAAAAATTCATGAGGACTGGCAGGTGGTGTAGTGGTTAAGGGCACTGGACTCCTACATGGCCGACCGTGGTTTGAGTCCCGGACCTGGTGGCTTGCTCTCTCCCCCATCCCCGCCATCCTTCTCTGGTCAAATTAAAATGGATGAATAAATAAAATCAAACAAAAAATAATTCTTTAAAAAAATTAATGGAAAATAGAATTCAAGTTTAGTTTGATGCAATAAACTTAGAAATTCATATGGAATTTCTTAATACAAAATTTTCTGTAAACTATCTGAAGACCCCTTGTACTATGAAATTTAGACTCTCACCTATTAGATGTCCCTCTTATCTGTCTTTGCAGCTTACAAACAATCTACTTTTATATGTCAGAAAGTAAAAATTAGCTTGGGCTGAAGACAATAAAAATGTGCCATCATTCAAAATGGAGCATATAAATAAAACATACACAAAGTTCACAGGTAACAGTATTTCTCCCTCGTACACACTACAGCTATAAATGTCAAAATACTCTAGTCCTTGAGCAACTACTGCTTTACTGCTTATTGAGGAACACCATTCTCTAGGTTGTTTAAAATTATATCTAAGAATGAGGAACCAGCAGTTAGCGTAATGGCTATGTCACTGGACTCCCATGTAGTTGACCGTGGTTCGAGTCCCAGACACTGTGGCTTAAACTCATGCCAGGCGCGTGTGCATGCGTGCCCAAGATCCCGAGAGGAGAATGGAGGATGCAGCGTGGTTCCCCCCCCCTGGGGGGTGACTTCTCTCTTTCTGTCTCTTTGTCTCTCTCTGTCTTTCGGGTGAGCATACGTGCCCTATAGCAAAAACCTCTCAAAAAAATTATATCTAAGAATGAAATATTCCATTCATGCATGGAGGATATAAGTTACTCAATTTCCAAGTATGATTTCTAGGTAGTCTCAAATTGCTGCCAAGGTACAGAGCTTCAAATGAGGAGTTTTGGAAGACAAACTCCCACATTTATTTTAACTTTGTAGTTTCCAAGAAAACAGAATCCTGGGTCTCCTTCACAGTTCAGACCTTTAGAGTTTAGACTCAGACCCCTTTAGACTCGGCTTTGCTTCGTTTTTAGCCTTTCAAGACAATGCTTTACTTAATTTCCACCTAAACGCTACCCTTCTCCTAAATCCTATATCTACTCTGTCTTTTCTTTGATAAGATGTCCTATGGTTCCTCTGAAATGCAATCTTCCTGTATCAGTGAGTCAATAAACCTGGCTTTATCAGACTGTAGGTTTGTCCCTGGTGGTCTTTAGCTAACTAAGCTAAGATGAATGACACAATAATGATTTCCAAAGGATACTACCTGCATTAAGAAAGCAGCTTCAGCCTAGCCATGGTGGCACAGGTGATAGGAGACCCCTGTGCAAAACTGGAGCCATATGGGAAAGCCTATGGTCCAGTTCTTAAATACACTGGGTGTACCCATGGGCATGCCTACTATCCTGGCTAACTGAGAGGCTTGGGAGAAAAATCACAGTGTGAGAAGACCCTGTTGGAAGCTGGCCCCACTGTCTGGTAGTTGAGGATGCTAGATTCCACATGGCCAACTGCAGTTTAAATCTTAGCCCTTGTGGCTTGAAAAATACCCCAGGTGCCTGTGTATGTCCAAAATCTTGACAAGATGGACAAATGGAGAAAAAGGGAGTGCATGTACACTGTGACCATTAAAAAACAATAATAAAAAACAGAGATCCTGTCAAGAGTCCCTTTCCCATGAAATAAATAAAAATTTAAAAGTAGAGTGGCCCTAACCAAATACTGTACAAAGATGTACAAAGAATATTAGACAGTGAGAAAAAAGATAAATTAAAATGCAACAACAAAGACTTATTGTAAAAAGGATACTAAACAGAAGAACAATGTGTGTTTCAGCTACAAACTGGGCTTGGCTGCTTCCATGGATGTAATTCTGGGGGGAGGGAAGACAAAATAAAATCTTTAAATATACATTAAATTTTGGTATCCTATCCCTAGAGTGGGCTACTTGAAACCCTATGAAATTATTAATTAACATGCTATTTATAAGCATGTGACATATTTTTATTTATGGCATTCATCAGTAATAACTGATTACTATAAAAGCAATTTCTGTACTATCTATTCTCTATTTTTTTCATTGTAATTATACTATGTTTTCAACAATAGAATATATATAAAAAACTAGTATTAAGTATATAAGAACATGAGGAACAATAATGCAGACTCCATGAAGACAGCGACCATGTTTTTGTTTATCCCTATGTCTAATAATACTTACCATGGTTCATAGAAGCATTCGATGAGTGAATCTTAACCCCTACCTCTCACCTTAGACAAAAATCAAGTCAAGGTGGATCAAAGATCTAAATGTAAGACCTCAAACTATAAAACTGCTACTGGAAA